CACTGGCTGTGTCCACAAACAGCATACAGACTTAACATTATTCCCATCTTCTGATAACAAGAAAAGGCAAAATGTCAGAACAGTTCACCTTCTGGGTCAAACTATCAGACCCATTACTGTTTATTTGGCCGTTCATCGTGAGGTAATTATCAGTGTCACTGCTGTGCCACTTCTGTTGCAGCTTACCAATGTGCAATGTGTTTTCAATGGTCCCTGTTGTCTTACAGGATGTGAGTCTGTTTTGCTTCATGAAGAGTCAAACCTTGTTTTTTTTTTTTATGTTGCACTGAAAATATTATTACTGTAAGTCGTAAATGTGTGTCATTTAACCAGGCAATATGTAAACACATTTACTTTATCCTATGAATAAAATGTATTAAAATGTAACGCATCTTTCTTATTGTCTGAAAAATTGCAGACTGCGGTCCCAGCTGACTGTAACTAAGGTTTGGTGCCACCTTCTGGCAACACCATGGAGAATGTTTGTGGACCGTGTTCAGGCGACCTCCCGCAGGTCCAGCAGCAGCAGCAAAACAGTTCAGGCTGTTAGGGTCCCTGGGTCGTCGACCCAGTGTTTTGTGTTTTTGGTTCTTTGATTTTGTTATTTCCTTATATTCTGGCTTTGCTTTACGGGTTTTAGGATTATTCTTAGTTTAGGTTCTGGTGGGGTTTTGTTAGAGTTTTAGTGTTCTGGTTTTCTGTCTGTGATCCATAGTTGCTGTCTCCCCTGTCTGCTGTATCCCCACGTCCAGTCAGTGTCTGTGTCTGCCCTGGTCCCACATCTCTGTTCCCTTTGTTATAGTGCCTGCCTGTAAGTCTGTGTCTTTAAGTTCAGTCTGTGTTGTGTTTCCTGTTTTACTTTGGAGGTGCGTGTCTTATGTTAATGTGTCTGGTTTTGCTTCCCCTGTTTCGTTAGGCCTGATTTAAATCACTAAGTTGCACTGAGACTGCACTTTTAAGGATTTTTAATTATATTCTTTTAACTTTGGAATCCGGCAGCTGTCATCTATATAATATATATTGCCCCTGTTGCCCTGGCAACAGACTTTAGAAAGGAGAAGTAAAGAAAAGAGGAAGTTTAGTGCAGAGCTGCACTGGAAATCTGACACAAAGAAAGAGGAACTGAGTAAACTGAGGGTGTGTGTGTGTGTGGCGTAGCCGAACTAGACACATACAGATTCATCTTATGATTTTTTTCAGAGCTGTGGTTGCATGATAGCGCCTAACAGCTCCCCATTCCCGGGAATGCAAAATAAAGATCATTTTTTGAGTTAGACCACTTTGAGCCCAGTTTTTCTTCGCCGCCAAAAGAATGCAAGGAACCGAAATTAATACAGCCTTGCTGCCCTTTTATTGTTGGACCTGTCAGCAGCTTTTGACACGGTCAACCATGACATCCTGTAATCACAGCTAGAATTTCATCCTGGACTAAAAGGATGTGCCCTCCAGTGGTTTCTGCCCTACTTGTCAGGAAGGTCTTTTTACATTAATATTGCCCTGGGGGAGATATAGGAGAGGTGGAGGAAGATCTCAGCCTTGGTGTCTATTGTCTTGTGTAGTCTGGAAGATGAGTGGATGACAGGTTGGGTGCAGTTTTCTCTGTGGTGGGGTCGGGTGGGCTGTCCCGGGCTCTGTGGGGCTGGGCGGTGCTGCTGAACTTGGCCCCGGTCCAGATGGGCCTGGGCCCCCTTGTCCTGGTGGGTTGCAGAGTATGGATACCATACACTGCAACCCACCAGGGGGGTGCCTACTGTGTTCAGCGGGGGTGCTGGCCCCAGGGAGGGGCCACTTGCCCCTTCCTTCCCTCCCCATCTCCAGCTGCCTCCCTGTTCTCGCTCCACCACAATCACCCACACATGCCGGGCCTTGGGGTAAAGTTGTGTCACCAGGGTGCAGGGGAGGCATCCCCCCCTCTGTCCCCTTCTGGCTGCCTGTGCCTCAATTTTATCCCACAACTTAATAATAATAATAATAATGGATTGGATTGAACTTACACTCTCATAACACATACATATAGGACATTGGGGGTGGGCACGCTATACGGCATCCAGAACACCATCAGGGTGTACAACCTCACCCCTGGCGCCATTGCCCACCTGTCAACTTTAAATACACGTAGACATTGAGGGCTATCAGGAAGGGCTGTGCACTTACCTGCTGCTTTCTGACAGGTAGCTCAATGCCCTCTTGGGTTTTAAATGCACCTTAGTTCTCTGTTGCCTGTTGGGGCGGGCTGGCTGGGAGGATGAGTGCTGCTTCACCAAAGGGAAGAGGGTGACACCACCTGGGTCTGCGTGCAGTTTCCACCTCCAAGGCAAGGGTACCTAGACCTGGGGTATAGAGTACGCTTGGGGAGTGTGATTGTGTGTACAGTGTCTATTTATGTCTGTCTTCTGTATGGGGAACCGGAGTTGGAGAAAGAAGATGTGCGCTCAAAGACGACTGACATATGCCAAACGATTCTGCCAGCAGAAAAGGAAAAGCTTCCCAAGAGCTTAGACATTGCTCATCGAGTGGGGAAACCTAAACAAAATTACCGGAAACCCTTAGGGATCATCATCCAGTTCATGGATTGAAAGCTGCCAAGAACAATCCTTTTTATTCAAAATAATCATCTGCGGTTCACTGAAAACCTGACGAGAGAGGACAAAGAAAACAGACTGAAGCTGTGGCCCATTATAAAGAAAGCACGTGAAGAAGGGAAATCTGCTTACTTTGTTCAAGCAATGTAAAAGGTATATCGCTAATTGGCAAAGATTTACTCATAACACAGTTAGCGGATGACACTACATTATTCCTAAAAGATGAGTATCGAATTTCTATTGCTATTGAAACAATCTCCACATGTCTTAAAGTTTCTGGATTGTACTTGAATATTCCTAAATGTGAACTTATGGCGATAAAAGAATGTTTGAAAACAGCTTTGTGTAACCTTCCAATAAAACAAGAAGTTCATTATTTAGGTATTGTAATAACCAAAAACCAGGAAAGAATTTCTATCTTATTCTAGAGAAACTCAAACACAGATTTAATCAGTGGCTCTCAAGAGATTTATTGTTAAAAGGCAGAGTATTAATAACTAAAGCAGAAGGCATCTCTCGTCTTATTATGCTGCATTGGCATTGCACCTTGATAATAAAATCATAAAAGAGGTTGATAAGTTACTTTTCAACTTTATTTGGAAAAATAGGACACACTACTTTAAAAAAAACTGTTCTTATGAACTCCTGTGTCAATGGAGGACTTACTGTGTTA